CTATATTCTACGATACAATGATATGGGCGTGTTGCCGTTCAGATTTGAGGATATAGCTGATAGAAGGAAGTCAGCAAATGAACTCTGCAACGATTTTCCAGCCTAGACGTCAACCTGAGAAGGAATGTAGGCGTACTGCTGTAAGTCCTACAGTTCTTCAAGGGTAGTTCTTCAAGGCATAATCCACAACATTTGATGTAGTGATTGTACATATGTTTGTGTTAAATAATTGTGTGAGTTCCAATTATGGTATTGTTGGTTAATTTTGTTCGTGTCCGGACATTCCACAACTTACAAACATCAACCTGAGAAGGGTTGCAGGCGTACTGGTGTAAGTCCTGCGATTCTTCAAAGGAATTCCATCGAGACATGATCTGCGAGTTTGTTTGTACTGTTTGTATATACGTGTGGTGTGTCATATCAATTGGTGTTTTTGGATTCATTGTGTTTACTTGTTGTTTTCGTACCTTGTTGTTATTGCATAATTTTGTTAAAATTTTCGTCGTGATTACTTCTGAAGTTGTGTCCACTCTTCTACATCCGTGAATGAACTGATTGATGTTAAGGACAGCAGATGGGTCGTATACGCCGGGGAGGCTAGGCTATTGCTGAGAATGAAATGCACACGGAGGTAATTGTTAGCTGTGGTCCCACACGCCGGGGAGAAAGAGTGTAAACGACTGAGGCTCGCATACGTCACCGTTACTAGAACTGAGGCAGAATGAGTGACAAGCGATTTCAGTGGTAATTGGTAGTGAGTAGATACGAGGATGTACGTAGAGTATCATGAGGTAGTGCTATGGTCACGGTGCATTCTGCAAGAGTCATTCTAGCAAGTGGCGGTTGTGTTGCGAGATGTGAAGAGGATACCTTTATCTGGAGGCGCAGGTTGTCATCGATGTGTGAGATTGTGCTGTGGGTATGCCTGTGGTGTGTTGGCTTTTCCGTTTGTTTTCCACTTCACCTCTGTCCGTGTGACCCAGGTTCTCGCAATGGCATCCAAGTCAACGTGTATTGGTCGTGATTGAAAACAGGGATGGATCCGTCTTTTCCCGGGGAGTGTCAATGAAGTTGAAGATTGAACGATCAATTCATGGTTGTTTGCTCTAAACCAACTTCCCTTTATTTTCGCGGAGGCGTCAATACACCAGTCATCGTCTCATCGGTCGCTGTTCAGAAAGAAGTCAGGCCAAAACGGTCAGAAGTAATATTGTGAATTATTATTGTAATATTTGTTCATAGACCTTAGTTAAAGCTTAATTTTAAAGTTGGCTATATATTGGTGTTAGAATAAAGAATTCTCGAGTAGCCAATAGGTGTTTTGGTTTTGCGTCCGTTGTTACTAAGCGTTTCTGAGAAACTTCAAGGAACATCGTGAGTCCCAGCATAGCAAGAGAAGGGCATTTACGGTTTACGAAACGTGGCTGACATAGGGGATATGCGATATAATAACCCGCCGCATCTAGAAATAGCTGTCGTAGGAACTGCTGCAGTACGTCCGAACTGCATCTACCTGGAGAAACAGTTAACTAGAACAACTCACTAAATTATTTTCGTACATGGGCTCAAGAACAGGTTGTCTTACTTAGTGCTTAATAAAAATAATAATTGTTATTAATTATAATCTACTTTATTCCAAAAATGGCACTTATAATACAGGGTGAAATTCTCAGCATTAGTCACAAAAATGCGTCCGACTTACTCAAAATATAAATAAAATTAAATTAACCAGAGGAATTTGTTCACTTTCACGGTATAAAGTCAAAAATTGTCTAAGTACAAAATGAGAATAATAAATGTAATAATAATAACGGTGGGTTTTCTTCAAACAGTATTGTTGATTCATTCCGGAAATTTTAGCTTGTTATACATCACTGAATCTAGTGTTCTGTTGGTATAGTATTGCCAGTGTAGTTGAAGAGTGAACTATCAGTTCATGGTTGTCTGCTCAAACCCAGCTCTATATTTTGGCGGGAGTCATCGATACTGCAGTCATCGTTTCATCGTTCGCTGTTCGCGGAAGACAGATAAAATGTATCAGAAGTATTACTGTGATTTATTGTTGTAACATTTGTTCTTAGACTTTGTGTACAATAACCTAATGGTTGACCCTGTAGTGGTGCAAGAATAAAGGGTTCTTGGGTTACCAATTTGTGTTCTGATTTTTCTGCGTTGGTTATTATGCATAGTTCCTGAAAGGACAGTGTGAAGTCCAGTGAAGTTAGACCTGGACATTGACAAGATGGTGAGGAGAAAGGCAAAATTAACAGTTATAACACAGCTTAAATGATGTTTACTTTTATGAGAAAATTAGCAGAAAAGAGAAAATCATGAATATAAGAATAATAATAACAATGAAGCTTGGTGGAATAAGGATGGAAAAATGGTTTATTTACTAGTGCAAAGAAGGTTAGTTCGCCCCTGACACTATTTTCGCTACATAAAATACGTGCCAAATATGATATAGTGGAATTTTTATGCTTGAATGTAGCCGCATAAAGTCTTCTGAAGAGATTTCTTGTATTACCTGGGGAGACAAGGTTGAGGATGCGGGTGAAGTGAATGCTCCTACTCTGACGAAATTCCTTTAGCGAATTTGTTGCGTGAAAACAGGTGCCTATCAATAACGATGCCAGCGATATGGTCAAGTGGGATACCACCCGCACTCCTGACAGTCTTCAGAGTTCTATGAAGTATGACAGTCTTTTTTGAGCAGTCCAGGAGAGAACAAGGCTGAACGGTGAAGAAGAATAGGTAATATGCATGAGTTGACAAACCGTAAGTGGAGGATGGGTTGAGTTGTGCCCGAGCGCCTGTACTTCTTAATGTAAAAAGTCAGACGAAATATTTTTTTAGAAATCACTAATACATGGGAAGGTCAGGATAGGTCTGAAGAAATAATCAATCCAAGATACGCAACTTCAGACTTTGTTTCCATATCGCCATCATCAATTTTGCAACGGTCAGCTTCATTTAACTTTTTTTACATCGTAGACTGAAATTAACAGTTTTAAATCTAGAAGGATTTGGTTTATGACCATTAGACAAAGATCATTTACCGACTCCTGATAGAAGGCTGTTCATCTTAGAACAATTAACAGGGGGTTAACAGGTATTGAAGCGGTCAGATCATCAGTAAACTTAGCAAAGTCCATTTTACCACAGTGAGTCAATTCACGCAAGAGCAAAGAAAACAGAATAGGAGAAATAACAGCTTCAGTAAGCAGTGAAGTGGACAACTCCCCTTAACAGTTTACATCTTCTTTCCTGAGAAATAAGAATGCAGCCATTTGACAACCCAACAGTCAGTTTGAGTTTCAGCAAGCGTATTCAACAAAATGTCCCCGGGTACTACGTCCAAAGTAGATTTATCATCTAAGGAGGTGAAGCGAAAAATGCAGCCCCTTCGACTAAACTGGAGACAATGTTATGCTGAAAGGCTGCGGCTGCATCTAAAGTGTGGGGAGATTACAGCACCTTGGGGGACACCAGCTTCAGTGAACACAGCAGAGGAGGATTTACCCTTGTATAGAGCGTACTGCATTCTGTTAAAGAAGTAGGAATGAAACCAGTTCGTGACCCAGGACTCGGTTTGTATCATAGAGAGCTTATTTAGCAAGAGACATCTAGGTATAGAGTCGAAAGCAGAAGTGAAGTCGCGAAACGTGCAGCGGACGTATTTAGCACCCTTATCTAATGATGAGACGATACTGTTGTGTAAGATGGCTGCAGCGTTTAAAGTGCTCCTACCCTGACTACAGGCAAATTATTTGGGGTTTGCAAAGCTTTTAAGGGTGGTTCAAGTTTAAGAAGTACTAGTTTTTCCATAATGTCGAACTTCATTCATTTCGAACTTCATCCTTGATTGTAGAATTTCTGCAGTAGCTTTGCTCCCAGCGACGTTGCATGACATTTTGCTGCCAGAAGTCTCGAGAATAATAAATAGTTGCCAGAAATTATGTTACGTTGAGTAATTTGCGAATATCTTAGTTAAAGGGAATAATACTTCCCACCATTAAAGGCTGACGGTATTGATGTTCATGGATGGTAAGCAGTATATTAACGCAAGTTCTAATATCCACAACTTCTGCAGTATTCGTTCTGCATAGACCAAAGGCAAAGCAAAACACCAGAACTGCCCGTCTAAATGATGAGTTATATTTCGGAACCAAATCGGAGTGCGAGATGATTTCCCAACTAGATAGGGATCGTGCACGAACGAACGAACGTGACACAACGGCACACCAAATGGTGTGGATGCTTGACCGGTAGCCTTCAGCTAAATAAGTTGACTTAAATAGTGAGGGCCAGCATCCGATGTTCGGTGATTAATGCTGTGGCCAATAATTTTGGGGAATTACGTATCGCTACAGATCATTCAAAAAGATGAAAGTTTTGATTACCTGAGCATACAGGTGCTTAAACTGGTTCCGTGCTGCTTCTTCTTTGGACTCTGGGTTTATGTACTGGTTCACTGAGCTCCTTGCTTAGACGATCGCATCTTTAACAGCTTTCGATACGTTTGGTCAACCTGTGGTTTCGGCCCATGATGCTTCTGCTGTGAACTTGAAATTGAGCTCACAGAGGTCTTTTCTCTTTCTATTTACTCTGGATTTGGGCATCTCAAAATATAAAGCAGAAGGGTGGTGCCCGGGTTCGAGCCCACGCCGGCGCACACCTGATATCTATGGTCGGCCTGCAAAATTTGGGCTACCAATATCCATGCTGAAAATTCCATACTTGTACCAAAAAACAGTGTGGAATCAAGCTGTAAATCAAAAACAAAGAGAAACTATGTCGCTGTGTATCACAGTTTCACCCATCGAATCATAAACTATTTGAACCAACTTCCAGAGGAAATGATATCTGCACCCACAGCCGACTATTCCCAGAATGGATTAGACAGGCAAAGATAATTATTGAAAAAGAATTGACAAAGGCTTGAGGCCTACGAACCTCCAACCAAACATCCGAATGTTTTCTGAAACTCATAGTGGATATTCAAGGTCGACCAACGATGTTTAAGAATGGCACAAGTTTTAAGAATTTCCTGTTGTAGACAGATTCACTGGACGAACCATAATGCAGCGGGGGGTTTATTCAGAGCTCGGTAACTTTGCTTAGCATTCTCTATATAAATTTAAAGGCGTCGACTACCTCCTAGTAATAATGAATGGGGACCTTTGACAGACATACCCGATTATGTCATAATAGGTTAGTGATTCAACAATTGATCTATTGTCATTTCTCTGGTTAACTAGGAAAACCAAACCCCGATTTACAAGTGTAGGTCAAAAACGACGTGCAATCAATCAGTTTAACTTTGCAGTAAGTCTGTGATACTATGTAGTGCATATTCTTTGTTATGTAGAGTGAAGTAATACGGTTAACATCTGAAATGAAGCGAACTCAGGAGAAATACAAACAGGAAAAGGAATTGGAGGAAAAGATTGAAGAGACTCTGAAGGGGAAATGCCTTCAACCAAAAGGAACGAAAGAAGTATAGAGAACGTTTGTTTTAAAATGGAATGTAAATATATACGATACGTAGCTGCACCCTGTGTTTTGGTATTTCTATCTCTTTTGGGTTAAGGAATCAGATGAATCCCTGTCGAATAAGAGGTGAGAGATTAGGAGAATTTTTTTATTAGATTGCGATACTTTGTGTGGAGACGTTACCATTTGTTTGATTCTAAATCATTCGGAGTTGTTAACAGTGTTGTGTGCTTCAGTGGGCTAAGTAAAAATGTGATGCGAAACGAATAGTTTCACAGCAATGCCCTCAGTACTGCATTGCCATACAGGGTTTGCAGTCCTTTTTAGGTCCAACTCAAATAAGCTGCACAATACAAATCAAAGCCGTGGCCACATATATTCATGTCAATACTCTCTCTACTCAACTATAGAACTTAGTTCAGTACAGTACACTGGTTAGTTAGCATCCAAATATCTGCTTCCACTAAAAGTATTAAGGTTCATGCTAAAAGCTCAAATTTCACTAACCCAATCACGATGAATTACGCAAAATCCTATTGTAGTCAGTGCATTCAAATGGCTGTAAATGTCACACCTTACAATTGTAGAATATTTAGTTCAATGTGTACTGAAAACAGTTCATTGGTGTGTAGTTGGCCAACTGATTTGAGCAGAAAACCACTGCATGCTTCCGCACTTCAGAGGAGCACATGAAATTAAGAGAAACAAGTATGTATGGACGAGAATGTAGTAAAACGAAAATAGTTAAGTAAAGGTTACAGAACATGTTTTAGAATCTAGGGTGATACAAACGGCGAATATTTCTGCACCATTTCAGATAGCTTTAAATCATTTCACGTTTAATAACCAGTGATTAAATCTGAGCATCGTGAGAAAATGAACCAGGCAACCTATGTGGTTCACACCAATAGCCAATGACTTCATATATTGGTGCCACCTCTTAGTCTAACTCTTTTGGAAACTAATAATGCATTTAGTGTGTCTCCTCCAGGGAGATGTTCAGTTGCACGGGAATTTACTGTCTGCCTATTGCGTGTTAATCGTTCCCCGAAGTGCTTTAAGTAAACTGAATTATTTTTCCATTGGTACATGTTGTCTGTAACCAAGAAATGCGATTTTCATAGCTGGACAGTGAGTACGTTTAAAAACAGGGATCAGGACTTTATTTCTTCTCACTTATATGGCTGTCTTATTCACCGAAGCTTACTGTTCATAGTAGATTTAATATTTGCAGTCAGCCTACCAGAATAATGTCCTAGTCTATCTGTACGTTTGTAGGGATCGCTGTCACCTTGAATACTTGACCAATTCCGGGATTCTAAGCTACCGAATGAGCATAAAAAACGTGAGGTATTAGGGATTCGTATTTCTTCTGAAGTCTACAATGATATTTTGTGTGCAGTTCTGCACTGAACCTTTACATATGTGATCTAGTTCTCCTCATAATATTCTAGTAGGATGATATGAAGTAGTACAAAATTTATCTCACTGTGTTCTGAAATATGTAGTAAAGTTTCCTTCTGTATAAACTAAATGCCATAATCTTTGCCTTCGTGCTGTTTATTCGGTTAGATTATCCCTAATAGTTGATTTTCTTTTTTTGAATACCTATAGAAGAAATAGTTATCCAGGAGTGTATGTATTAAGAAAGCGTCAGCCACTTGCACATTTCAGTCATCTCTGAAGTTTCTATTAGCTTTCTTGTACTTTCTTCTCTTGCGCTACACGGAATGTGGCGACTTGAACTTCCGCACATTTGTGCAAAGTTCTATGTCGAAAACAGACAGACATCTCTGAAGTCATCTTCTTGCTGTAATACATTATTCTTCAGTCTTAGTTACTGGAGTTATCTGAGAATGCCGTGGATTGACCTACTTAGGTTCTGTGGCTAGCAGACTTATATATAGTATGGCGACTTGTACTGCCGCACATATGTTCAAAGTCCTCTGTCGAAAACAGACAGACGTATATATACATATATATTATATGTATATGTGTGCAATGAGCTATAATCGAAATGGAATAAAAAAAAGTGGCGGAATTGGAACAAGCCTTCACCCCGTTGGTTCGGTGTCGTACTAACTAAACTGAATATCTAATATGCTAGTCAGATCATAACGACACCTGAATCACAGGGATTCGTTCAACCAGTACTTTATGAAACAGCTCGTAAATTATTTATGATCTCGAAAGTCCTTACCCCATGTTTAGTTCACCCTATTATCTAAAAAATAACGCCCAGTAGTACAACTAGGCATTGGTATATTCCCTCACGTTAACCTCAACTATGCAGTAAAAGTTCTGTGTACCTGGGGAAAATTTGCTTTGGAGACATACAAAGAATGGTGTACTTTTAGAGAAAAACAGTGTTAATATTAGATGGAGGCAATCGGCAAGAAGCCTTGCTTGACCTACGTTTCGTGCTAGTTGGAACTCATCAGTCAGCAAGGCGTATCTGCAACCTAGAAGGAACTCATGTCCCTTCTGAGATTTGAACCCGCGTCACCCAGTACTGCAGTCAGAGACGTTACCACTGAGCTATTTGGACTCACAATTGACCTCCTGTAGGGCTGTAGTGGATATTTTCATTGGACACTAGTAACTAGTGTGACGTGTCTAGTGTTAGCTGGCATAGGATAAAGTTGGAAGTGATTTAGAGCTGGTCAAACGAAGACATGGTACCAATGAATTAAGTCTTAAACTGTTATTATAAGCCATATAGATAGGTCGTATGCCTGACTGGATCCTCGAGACAATAAGAATTAATGACTAGAGATTAGTGATGTGGCTTAATACCGTTCTCAGTGGCACAAATGAGCTAAACCTTCACTGTTCTCTATGCAATTACTCTTCGTGCGGTAAATTTTTAGTTTATTTTAATTTATTCGAATAAAGCAAAAACAACAATTCGTGCAGAATAAGATGGTATTCTCATTTATTTAGTCGGCTTCTCATCAGCTGCGTACAACCTAGGAATTTAAATTAAATGGATGTGAAACCAGTTAGTAGGAGACTGCAGAACTAGTAAATAGTGCTTATATATATATATATATATATATATATATATATATATATATATAACTCGTACATAGATCTTCAAGTATAAAAACGAGACGAAAAATATATGTATGTATGTTGGATACAATTACAAGGGAGTTGTACAATAAGACTAGAGGTGAATAAGTAGGTATTAACTAACAAGAGAGTTGCGTAACGATGTGGAGCCCAATCTTAACCATATGAACAAAAAGCAAAATTACATAACAGAGGGGGAAGATGTTAAATCCGGAGATTACGCAATCAAATAAAAGGAGAGTAAAGACTCAGTTACCGGGTAAGGGAAAACTGATGGCTTTAGTTTGAGAATCCACGAATTGGGTTTTAACTGCTTGATGGCATTTGTTTCGATAAGCTTGAGGAGACTCGAATCATATTGTCTGTTGGTAATTTAACAGATTTCAGGGTGCGTACTCTTGACCCGGACCAACGAGATGCCCGGCTTAGCACTACTGAAAGAGTTTGTTCCATTTGCATTTCTTTCCTCTAATTTTCTGTGTGATTTCATGAGGTGTGACAACTGAACTTGTTGCATTTTAGTACAAGTTCTCCGTTGAAAACTCAGGTATAATAGCTTTGAGTGTTTATTAGAAATCTTTCTCTGCGTACCATGGAAAAAAATAAGAATTTGTTTGCACCTCTCTTTTCCACTAATGTCAGTGACACTACCAGGAACTGGGATTACTTAAAAAGTCAAGTACGCGTTGAGCCGAATCTATTCTTAGGTGTGTGGTGGGGGAAATATCGAACTGACAAGAACCATAATAAAATTTCGTAAACATATATATGCGATACGTAAAATAATCTCTACGTATCTTTCGCAAACTTCCCTTCCATATTTAAAAACTATAAAATGCCGTATGCGAGGCTTTTACAATCAACAGACAAACTAATTCATAGTCCGCCTATAAGCGAAATTGCCATCCATCAAAACATTAACGACTGCTCAAACTCATCAGCAGTTAGGCATATATATTCAGCTGCCCCTTTCGACCCAGATATACTGGTCATCTGACGCGTATCCTGTTCATATGGTTGCAGAAAGGTAGCAAGTGGCTCTATAAGACGTGCAGCAGTTGAACAACTCATCACCACTACCTTTTCATTCTCAACCAAATTTCATTTTTAAATTCACTTGCCAAGTGAACATCAGTCTACCAGAAACAGAGAGCTGTCACCTTCTTTGCATTGTTGAAGCTCTAGTCATCTGGATGCGGAAACCAGAGTTCTGATTAGAAGAGAGAGTTCTTCAGCCACTAATTCTTGAACTCTTATGTAATATCGCATTTCCTTACTTTTTTGTAATTCTAACACTCTTACTCAACTGTTTTTATACATTGATCATTTCTAGCAATTGTGCTCATAACAGTTCACTTCTTTCGTTAGTATCCCTTTATTTTGTGGAAAAATTTCATATAAATGTTATGGTACAGCTGAAGAGAATGAGTTCACTACAAAGAATCCCTTCTATGAACTACTAGTTTTGTTTGTTAATAATTAGGCAACAAGTTTCAAGTGCATCAATCAGGTACTGCTGTTATTCTCACCCACAAAATTTCACTGGTTTGGATAAACAACTAATAGGTAGATAGTCCAAATCTATGAGTATAAAGTTCTACAAAATAATTGCATTAATTTAATCATACAATCACCTAGGTGTATGCATTGTTTACATGCCAAAACACAAATAGTTTTTGAACTTTAGTTCCTTATTTTTTTCCCCAACTATCCTTAATTTCACCATGGGAGCAGTTATGAATAAATACGTTAGATCGATAAATATGCCTGTTTCTGATTGGTTGTAAATTCATTGACCAATAAGAAACTCGTAAAAAGTTATTTATTTATTCACTCACTCTCTCTCTCTCTGTGTCTTCCCTTCAATTTTAATTATTCTCTTTTTTTGGGATATGAGTTCTCTATAAATGTAAACTGAAAAATAACATCAATAACAAAAGAAGAAGCGATGAAATTACTCTTAGCAGCGTTTATCCTCTTCATAGCTTTATTGAGTCGATTAAATGTTGTACCTAATGGAAAAATCGGTGAAAAAGAAGTGGTTGTTTCATTGTCTGCAAATGAATGTTATCGTCATATAACAGATACTCAAGCGTATTCACGTGTAAGTCTATCTGTCATTTGTCTGTATAAGTCAGAACAATCTTCATATTTATTTATGAATTGCATTCCTTAGTTCTTTGTTAATAATAGTTAAGTATTTTTGTTTTTATATTGGACAGAAATGTTCAGTCTGTCTTGTCATATCGGTTTCCAGTACGGACGCCCGGATGATGTTTGAAGATTAACTTGATGCTACTTTGGTTGATAGATGCACCACTAGTAGGTAGCGTTTGAAACAGTGGGTACAGGGTTCAAACTTCACTAGGATTGCAGTTGTTTTCAGAAGACGAGTCCCAAATAGGACGAAATGAGCATTTAGGATTCTACTGCTAGTCACCATCAACCAAAATAATAAGATTCAGATGTTTTTTCATTAATTTTAATTTTTTAAGTTTTGATTTACAGCTTGATTCCACACTGTATTTTTGGTACAAGCATGGAATTTTCAGCATGGATATCGGTAGCCCAAATTTTGCAGGCCGACCATAGATATCAGGTGTGCGCCGGTGTGGGCTCGAACCCCGGACCATGAGCATGGTCGGCGAGAGTCCTAACCACTGTGCCACGACGCACTGATAAATATATATATATATATATATATATATATATATATATTCATATTAGGTGACTTTGTTTTCGAGCAAGTTGAAGTAGGTTCATATCCCACATGATTTATCAAACTGTCCCACTCACTGTTAAATTTAGCAAACCCACTGTTAAGTTGTTTATATGACAAATCAGTGAATCTAAACAGGTGATACAAATGATTAGGGTATCATGGGTTATGGTTATAACTTGTTGATATTAAGTTGGTTTACAGACTGACATTCGTTAAAGAACCACTGAAAACCACCAGAGAACACTGGATAGCTGTTTTGACCTACTTTGAAACTTGTCATCAGTACGCATATCCACCACCAGGCTTCGAACTAGGACCTTGTGGTTACAATGCAAACTCGTAGACTATTCAGTCACTGTGAACCGACTCAGTGACCAGACTATGAACCCTGAATTTTACCGACTGGTGATTTTAGTGTGACTGGCACCAGCCACTGTCATCTCTGGCGGGTATTCATCCTCACCTGTAACTGGAAGGTCCTGGGTTCGAACCCCGATGGGTGCGTTCTACTGAAGAGTCCCAAATCAGGACGAACACAGCTGTCCAGTACTTTCAGCTTTTCAAATGGTTCTCAAACTGATGTCAGCTCATGATGAAACCTTTCAAAAACCAATACTTGAAAATTAGAAATAATATAATTTACCAAATATGATGTAATGATTCTGAAGTCAATTCAATTACATATTTTCAAGTATTGGTTTTTGTAGGGATTTTGTTTGATTGCATGGAGGATTTAATCATGAGCTGACATCAGTTAGAGAACCACTGAAAACCTGGGAGTACTGGACAGCCGTTTCGTCCTAGTTTGGGACTCCTCAGCAGTACGCACCCACCGGGATTCGAACCCAGGACCTTCTGGTTACAAGGCGAGCTCGTAGACCATTGAGCCACTGGGACCCGATCCAATGGTCCTTGAAGGTCCTGGGTTCGAATCCGGTGGTGCGTACTGCTGAGGAGTCCCAAATAGGACGAAACGGCTGTCCAGTACTCCCAGGTTTTCCAGTGGTTCTCTAACTGATGTCAGCTCATGATTAAATCCTCCATGCAATCAATTACATATATCAAACTAGTAGATCGGGGTCAACTAGATTACTGGAACGTAAAAATTTAGCTAGACCTAGAGTAATTGACTCTGTTAAGTTAAATAACCTAGAAAAGAAAGCTCAGTCATTGCATTACACTGCATTTATTTGCATGTAATCACAAAATAGGGCGGGGAGGGACAGAGTGAGTATTAAAAAGTAATTTGGTTAGGTGGAGATAGAGAGAAGTTAATCATTGAAGCTTTGTTTATCGATTGAAAACCGCACACGTGGAATCGGAATGACACAACACCTATACAGGATGGGGGATTTCATCATGAGCTGACATCAGTTAGAGAACCACTGGAAAACCGGAGACATGGAGACTGGCAACAAACAAAAAATGGAAGTTGGATAGACAGAAAGAGAGGATAACTCCATTATGGATAAGATTTTATTGTGATAAATCACACAGTGTTGTACAGTAATATTAACTAATGACCACGTTTCGAGCACAAAACATTGCTCATAATTATATGATATAATAGCTTGTCCCAGGCCCAGAAAAAACAGGAGAGGTTGGACATGGGGCTAGTAAATCTAGCTTTTGAGAAATAACTCTATTGCTGCTGAATATTTCAATTATTTCGACTTATCCTCATCATTTATCTTTTCATACGCCTAGTGGATGCCTTCAGTTCTATCAACAGAAACAGAAATGAAGCCATTTATTGCCAGCATCGGTGAAGAATTCGTCTTAGTAGTCGACTATGGATATTTAGGTAATTATTATGGTTATTGATTTACAAATGATTATTTTGCTGGATTTGTTTTATTTAGTTATTCTTATAAAGTTGACCTGTCTAAGCATTAAGATATTAATTACCTTCAAACTGATTAATTTAGCCATTGAATGAATTTTAAAAAATATCAGCTTGAATTCTGTTGAAGACTGATGAAAGGACGTTGATAGATATTTCCTCTTAGTATGGCATTTCTCAGCGGTGGTTACACTTGATCCTACAACACAGTCGATCTTATGAACACCATGTTATTTAGCGACCGTATGATAGGATCTCAAAGGCTTGTATTGCTAATTTGTGTATTTGATTTATTGCTTCCTCTGTAATAACCTAATTATCACTCCTAGTTTTGTGGTGTGTGAGGCTGGTTGTATCTTACCATAGTCGTTTGCGTTCTGTCTCCCGTATTAAGTAGTGTCATATCGTGGACACTATTGAAGTTAGGCATAGAGTGCTAAGTAAGAAAGGGAAGTCTGTCGATGAGGTTTTGGAGTTACATCGATTGGGATGGGTTTGGATAGGCGTTGGGGATGCCAAGACGCCACTTTCTTCGACAAGCAGTGTTACCTGATAGACAAATGCGTTGGGATATAGTAAGGGGTGGTGAAACCAAAGCCGGTTATCAGTCAATATGGTCTTTATCCCTTGATTTGAGGTGTAGACTGCCTGGTTGGTGTTCTCAGGATGCTAAAAACCAACGTATGGACACTGTTGGTGATATGAATCGAAATCTTTCTGAATGGCTGTGATGCACTCACTGTTCGTGATATTGTCTATCTATCAAACTGTCATATTTTTCCATGTTGCTGTTGTTTCTCCCACTGATTTATGCCCATAAAATTATGATTATTATTATTATTAGGGTTTCTAGTGGAATATAGGGCCTTAATAAAATGCCTCCACTTTGTTCTATTTCCTACAACCCTTTTTACGTGGGCCCACGATTGCCAATAATCTCTCATCTCCCCTTCCTCGCACGATCTCCTCCATGTCATCCTCATACTGACGACCCACCCGTTACTCCCATTTTAGATTCCACTCGAGTGATGGCTTGCACTGCGCATTGTGTCATTCAACGGCCTCCTGAACGCATGCCCTATCCATCTCCGCTTTCTCCCACATATTTGTTGAGCAATCGTTTCTTAGTTGGTTTGTTGCTAGCGTTTCTTGTTACTAGTCCTTTCCGACTGGCTGGTCATTTAATCTTCAGTATGGAGTCAGGGAAGGCAAATGTCGATAAAAGTCTATAACCTGTTGGAAATCCTACACGTGACACGCCAAGTTTCTGACCCATACAGAAGAGCTGACTGACTGGGTTAACAATGGTGTTGAAATTCCCTAATCTATTTTGTTCTCTATGCTGACTGGGTGCAGATTTCCAAACTGGTTTCAAGTTGATGAAGGCGTACCTTTCCTTTTCACTTGTGGCTAGCTGGCTGGCTGGCTGGCTTAGACGTATTCATCCCTTCTGCCGGCCTGTGGTTGAAACTGTGCTCCCTAGCCAGATAAGTGAAGGAAGTAACCTCTGTCGAATCTCCCTTGGTGATGACAATTGGTGCTGGTTGTTGTTGCTGTTGGTTGGTTAGCTTCATCACCTCCGTCTTGTCTATGTTCACCCGGAGTCCTGTCTCCGCTGCTTCTTCATCTAGTTTTTTTTTTGGTTTTCTCCTGCAATTCTTCGAGTTTGTGTGTCATTAAACATAAATCATCCACGCGCGAAATCCAGATCTTTTAGAGTCTTCTTATCGGTCATTCCAAAGTATTCCTGTCTTCTCACTTCCCATGCATAGTCTGCAGCATAATCCAGTCCACCACAATTAGGAATATCTTCGATGATAATAGACAGCCTTGTCTATTATTATAGTTCTTTTAAATCTCTTTTTTCTCTCTTCTGTTTAACTTTGTATGCTACATAGAGCGTAGCAACTTGGACTGCTGCACTTTTGTGCAGACAGTATATGAAAACCTAGTTAGTATGTGGTGTTCTGCCTATTCTTACATTTTGATCATAATGTAACTGATAGTGATGGTAAAGTCTAGTTAGTTGAAAAGTTTTAATGTCGGTTTCCATCATCTTTCCTCTTAGCCGAAATGAAATTACTACATTCTTACTGGTTAAGGAAGGCCCATGAAGAAACTGGAAAGTAAAGGTTAAGAGAATTTCTTCGAATACCACTTTCATTGAGGTGCTATATTTGTGGCATAGTATTACTCAAAATACACAAGGCAAATATCCCATTACGACCAATTGTATCACTCCCAGGAACTCCAACATATAATTTATCCAAAGAATTATACAGAAAACTAAAACACCTAACGGAATCTTGCGATCACTCCATCAACTCTGCTATCCAATTCCTAGAGAAAATCAGAGGCATCCAAATAGATGAACAAGAAATAATGGTATCATTCGACGTGACAGCATTATATACATCCATCGGACAAAACCTAGCAAAAGAAACCATGGAGCAACTACTTAGCAACGACGAACAACTGCCACAACAATCAAAAATGCAACACACAAGCTGGATGGAATGCATAAATCTATGCCTAACAACATACTTCCAATTCAACGGCCAAATATATGAACAAGTCAAAGGAACACCCATGGGATCGCCAATATCAGGTTTGATTGCAGAAGCAGTGATGCAAAGACTCGAAAATATAATTCTACCAAAGATCAAACCCAAGATTTGGATACGCTACGTCGACGACACATTTGTAATCATCAAAAGAAACGAATTAGATAAAACTCACAACTTAATAAACAACGTCTTCAACGACATCAAATTCACAAGAGAAGAGGAATCCGAGAACAAAATACCATTTTTGGACGTCTTAGTCAGGCGAACAACTACAGGAGAATTAGAAACTCAAGTTTATAGGAAATCAACTCACACAGACCAAATACTGAATTACAACAGCAACAACCCAATAACACACAAAAGGAATTGCATACAAACACTATTCAAGAGGGCAAGGACTCACTGCAGCACTCCCACCTTAAGAAAAATTGAAGAAAAGTATCTCATGGACGTCTTCCAAAAGAATGGATATCCACGGAATTTCATCAAGAGACATATACCCCCAAGCCAACCTACCAAAGCAAAAGCCACCAAGGAAAGCACAAAGAAAATTGCCTTACCATATATAAAAGATATCTCAGAAATCACTACAAGACTCTTCAAACCTTTAGGAATTGACGTCGTACACAAACCAACAAAGTCGCTGCACTCAATTCTATGTCAACCAAAAGACTCAACAGCGAAAGAAGACAAAACCAACATCATCTACAAAATAAACTGTAACAACTGCGAAAAACACTACATCGGCCAAAGTGGACGTCCCCTTCGTCTTCGTATCCACGAACATAAGCTAGCCGTCAAAAGACATGATATCCACTCCCTCATTTCACTACACACAGACAACTACGGACATCAATTCGACTGGGACAACGTTCAAATATTAGACAAAGGAAATAACAAGAATGCTAGAGAATTTTTAGAAGCTTGGCATTCCAGTGGATCATCAATCAATAGACACATCGACATAGACAAAATTTATCAACCAATAAGAAAGAAACTTCACACACAAAGGGTCAAAGTTCAAGTCAAAGAAACAACCGGTTCCAATACAAGTAACCTAGAAGGTGTGAAAACACACACAAACAACCAATCACGTCCAAGGTCACCAGGAGAGATGATTAATAAACTCGTGGAGAAATCTAAAAGCTCACTTCAAATTGAAGTATGCGCTGAAGATGTCACCCAGTAAGGTGATGAAAGCTTCGCAAACTAACCATCCAGCTCAGAGAACAAAACCACATCAAAATAGTATTACTCATATATTATGACAGTTTCCTACTCGGTTTTCAACTTTAAGTGAATACCTTTTATCCTGGTATTGAGACAGTGAGGTTGATAATCCAATCAATGAAGAATAATGTTAATAGTAATTTTCAATAGTTGATTTGTAAGGATTAGATCTGTTTTTTACGAGTTTGCTCACGGATTAGTATCAGTTAGAGAACCATTGAAAACCAGCATTGGAGTACTGGACAGCCAGCTGTTTCAACAGCCTGGTTTGGGAATCATCAGCAGTACGCACCCACTGGGGTTCGAACCGAGGACCTTCCGGCCACAAGGCAAGTAGCAAGTAGTAGAATAGACTTTGAGCTAAGCTTTAATAGGCTTTATATCCGAATAATGAATTCATTTGTTGGAGTAAATTAACGCCACTTGTCAAAACCCAGTTTATTCAGGAGAATTGGTACCAAAAAACACTGATGTCCGTAAATTGCAGATCTTTCGAGTAGGTGTCTGAAATTCATGGATAAATCTGTGGCTCACTGGCTTAAGTACTCGACTATCGATCACTGGGCAGTGGAAGCAAATTCCCCTCCAACTGTCAAAGTTTAGGTAGCCAGCTGACACACATTACGTGTCGCATTATTAAGTTCATGTGGATGTTTGTGGTAGTTTATGTAACTTACTAGAAGTCTGTCAATGATCCAACCGAGAACCTATTGTCCAACAAATATTCAGAAGGAAATCTAGATGGATTGAACATATGCTGAGAAGACCATTTGACTCCAAAGTGGGACGTGCATGGGAAATTATAAGTTTGATATGGGTCAGAGAGTGACATGGAGGCGATAGAGAGAAGCGAATGAAAGCTAATTGACAATCGTGGAGTAGGCTAAAAATGTCACAAAACAAATTGAAATGGAAATGTGCTTATGAAGTTCTACGTTCCATTCAGAACTCAAGGGAATAATCATCATAAGAATATTTTTGTAAATGCATGAGTTCATGTAATATTCGCGAAGGTCGAAACAGAGAAGGATGGTGTGACTGTTGTCATATCCCGTTAGCCCAGATTTATTATTATTGTTGTTCCCTTGGGTTCCTAGTGGAACAGAGGGTTTCTACTCCACGTATCCACTTGCTTCTGTCTTCCTTCTGCTGTACTTTTCACCTGCATCCATGTTAGTCCATACTGTTTCAACTCCTCTTCACACGATCTCCTCCATGTCAACCTTGCACTGACGTCCCACTCACCGCTTCCCTTTCGGCCTGGTTCCACTCGAGCAATAGCCTGACGCGCGCGATGTCACCCAGCGGCCTCCTCAGCCACGAGTGTCCAATCAATCCCAATCCACTTTCTCCTGCATATTTGTTGGGCGGCAATTGGTTCTTGTTTTGTTTGTTCCCATAGTTTCTTGTTGTGATTCTTTCCGGCCCGGCCATCTGATCTTCAGTATAGAGCGAAGACAGTTGTTGATAAAGGTAAGGTCTGCAGTGAGCTGTTGGAAATATTCTTTGTGACCAACCCGCCAACTTTCTGATCCGTATAGAAGAACTGACTGACTTGACGTTGTTTGTATTGAAAATCTTACCGAATTTTGTTGTTGATGCTGGCTGAGTGACGAAGATTTCCAGATTGGTTTCAGGTTGATGAATGTGTTTTTCACCTTCCTGATTCTCGCTCGATTTGACATCCTCATCCGTTTCTCCTGTAGCCTAGATGGTCAATTGTAAAACGCCTCAGTGGTGTAGTTTTCGGACTAAGCACCAATCCTATACTTTTCGAGGTATATTAACAAGCTCTGATTGTGATCATCATCATGCTTATCAATCAAACAATTTCAAAAAATTACGGGAACCAGGTTCGAAAGACCTACTTGTGAATAAGAGGAAGTCGAGCTGTTTGGCTGGCTGATTGACCGGTTTGAAAATAGAACTTTGCACAGATGTACACCATTTCGAGTTGCCACACTCCCTTCATTTAGTACATAAAGCAAAAGAACATAGTAAAGAGAGATTCATCAAAAGACAGATAAACAGGAATATAAGGCAAAATGAATAGTAATATAGAAGAACAATAGACAAATCACAAGAGTGAATCCATCTGTACCAGCCACTGAGAATGACTTTCAACTAAATCACCAGTTTTCTCCAGCCACTGGTTCTTACCATTCCGAGGACTCCAACCAGGAAGTCACCACCTCAAGATTTGTCTTAAACTAACTGTTGTGATTTTCATTGACTGATGAAGCCATGTTTTGATCTGGCCATCACTAGTTTCCTCTTTTCCAACCTGATCCCTCTTGTGTCAGTTAACGCTGTCCATTGAGGAAGCTGATGGCTAGGCATGTGTAATGAGCTGTTTGGAGAAGTGGGCATCTTCTTTATTATTAAAGATTACAGTCGTATTTATCCGATGTGAAAACTTAATTAGTTTTACTAGAATTGCTTAGCCGATCGAACACAGGCAAATATGAGTGGGACAGATGAAATAAAAGGCCTTGCTGTAGAAGAAATGGAGTTGCGTCAAAATGTTTCAGATTGCTCACATACTACTCCAAATCAATATGCAACGGTATAAGGGATAATAATAATAGCAGTGATAAAGTAAAATGGAATAGAGTTATGAATTTCTCTGTTCTCTTATAATTATTATTATTATTATTAATATTATTATTATTATTATTATTACTGTCACAGGGACTATGTCATATGTCGGACACATTTTATCCGCTGAAACAAACACTCGATTCACCTTTATACTTGACGACTGGCTAGAAACCAAGTTTGATTTCACTATAACATCTATGGATAAAGAGAAATCGAGAATGAAATTAACTGTACATTCAAATAAGAACAATTTATTGTATAACGTGAGTTGTGTTCACCTTTTGATATTTAATGTTTTGAGAATTTTTTCATTATTCTTTTGATTGGCTGGAGGATTTCATCATGAGCTCACATCAGTTAGAGAACCATTGGAAAACATGTGAGGAGTACTGGACAGCTGTTTCATCAGCCTAATTCGGGACACTTCATTAGTTCGCACCCACTGCCAGATGTCGAACCCAGGACCTCCTCCTAGTTACAAGTGGAGTTTGTAGACCATTAAACCACTGGTACCCGACGCCATTGCCAGCCCAGGAATTTTAACTTCTGCCAAACCATGACATAGCGCGGCCAATGGCGAATGTCTTCTTCGACGAGTTACTGACTCACCTTCAACCTCTACTGCACCCTACTGGTCACGGCTTCCCACAAGAACCCCAGGTAACTACCTCCCTGAAAAGGACCAGTCGCTAGTGAGCATCAAATTAATTTTCAAGTATTGGTCTTGTAGGGATTTTGTTTGATTGGTTGGAAGATTCATTCATGAGCTGATATCAGTCAGTTTCGTCCGAAACTAGGACGAAAAGCTGTCCAGTACTCCCTGGTTTTCCAATGGTTCTCTAACTGATGTCAGCTCATGATGAGATTCCCCAGATCAAACAAAATCCCAGAAAACCAATACTTGATAGTTATTTTCTTTTCGATAGTTCGAGACTAGTGTTTGTGCGTTGGTTATCCGTTTCCGCCTAGTTTGGGAGTCTTCAGCAGTGTATCCATGATCCCATCTGGGATGGAATGTAGAGCTGTCAAAGCGTTGATCACCTAGCTACCGGGTTGACACATGAACGCTAACCTGGTTTAGGAAATAACTACTCAGGTTTATAACATATTTAAGACATCTTTTGTGTCTATCCAAATCAGTAAACAATCATCTGAGGGATTTTGGTATTCCTGTGTTTCATCTCACTGTTATGACCTTCTTAATCACACTGAGCTTGTAGACTAAAATTCCTAATGTTACATGAACGTTAATCGAATGCATTCGTTAAGGCTTTTATAGTAAAATAAACACTGGAAGGAACTTGTTCTCTAACTAGACTGTCTGTTTAAATCATATTGATTAGGAAAACGACCAGAGGTAGTGAATAAGTCAGTCATCCACTTGAGATATTATCCAATTTCTGACAAATTAACTGACAACGTCTTAGAGTTATATAAATGAACATCAAAATCAATATTTTTAACTCTCTGTATTGTTGAAACTTAATAAGTTTATAGTCTACAAGTCAGAGGAATTTTGGGACGATATGATAACTGTAGATCGTGACTATGTTGCATAACTTAGAAGGATTAGATTTCATTAAGCAGCATATATTCTGCGTTTTTATTAAGTAGTGTTTGTAGAGCAAGTTAGTGAAAATGACATAAGACATAGATGTTCCTGCCCCCCCGTCGGCCCGGATTTTATAAATAACTAGAGTTCACGAAAAAATGTCACCATATGATCAATATGACTGATTATGTTGTTGTATGAGACGATGTGTGCATGGTTAGAATCTCAGTAGGAACATCAATCAGTGAGGAATACAGGTACATACAGGTGATGAGTTCCAATTGAGGAAAAAATCAGCATCCTCGATTCTACTTCTAGTCGCCATTCATTCACAAGACATGGCTCTCGTAACTGAATTGGTCTGGTAGATAACTTTGGGTTCGAGTCTCAATGGTGACGCTATCATCAGTCACTGGGAATACAGGTACATCTAGCTGAAAAGTTTCAAAAAGGATGTGTAATGACGGAATGTTAGTGATTTTGTTGTCTGTCGTCTAACTTGTCTAGAATGTGCCATCAGACAACTGGCCACTTGAAAGCAATCCCCACTCTGAGGTTGACATAAAATTCAGATTTAACTGCTATTACGACAACTTTTATTCTTCACAATACACAGTATATATCGTGTGCACATCATCGGACATTTTTAAACCACAAATAATCAATATCAATCATGAATTTACGACTAATCATGATAGGTATTCCGTCCTAACGCATATTTTCCGTTTGAGACCGATGAAGGATACTTTTATGTCTGGGTACTGTCTAAGATACCTCCCCGAGGGGTTCCTTGCTTAGTGCACAGTTGACTCTACTAGTTAAAGGAATGGTAGTCATCACATTGCTCCTTGGTTAGAATTAAACATTTGTAGGAGATACTGAGCACAAATGCGTGTTCCCCAGAACTTTCACGTAGAATTCGCATCGTTTCATCACAATCAGTCTCACAAAAAAGAATTTCCCAAGGGATGGTTATGGTTTATCAATCGAATCAGTACCGAAAAGATCCAAATCATGACCATTGATAAGATAACATAAATTTTCAAAATTCTTTTGGGGTAAATCGAATGTCACCAGAGATTTCACCAACTAAGTTCGAAGTATCTCAGAAGCATTTTTATCGACATGGTACTTGGTGGAGAGTGGAGTGAAAATTTCTCTGGCTGATTGCATGGCGAATTCGATCATGTCAATATGGCAATGACTAGATGATTACAAAGATAATTTATCAGTGAGTACTTCCATCAGTTTCACTTGGAAGTCTTCACATTGCTTCTGTAGCTATGGTAGCAGTAACTGGACTTGCTCAAAATTGAAGGACATGATGAAAACACCTGGTTGAAAATTAATGACTTTATACCGTACTTGTAACGATAGAAGGCAAGGGCTAGGGAACAGATTGTTTATTGAGAAAATCAAAAGGTATTTATAGATTTTCACGTATATTATTGTTAGCGGAGAAACAACCTCTTCTGATTGGTGTTCTTCTTGCTGAAGGTTATTCTGCCATCTTTTTGTGGCCGTTTCTCAGAAAATCAAGCCATATGCCTGCGAATCATATTTCTACACATTAACTCCACTGTGACTGGTTGTTGATTGTCTCAAGGCCAAGCTTCGTTATTGTTTTTCCCATGACGCTGATTTGGGACGTGAACATTGACGTAAATTGTTGTCTAGAAGTTTGGCTTGCAACCAGCTCTCACCACATATTGAATTATATCAGATTTTGGGTTAATCGATCACCAAAATATATTATAACTGTAGTGAAATGAAAAAAACCCCATCGCTAAATAGGTTATAACGGAGTGTTAGTGATTTTCTTGATTTCCGTCTGACTGAACTAGAATGCACCAAAATCAATTAATCAATCAATCGAAAATTATTCCATCAGGTTATTGTGTAGGTGCATGGATCAATCTGACTGATCGGTTTCAACATAGGACTTTGAAAACAGAAGTGCAGCAGTTCAAGTCACCAAACTCCCTCTCTGTAGCACACAAAGCATACATCGATCATAATATCACAGCTAACAAAGATGGTTAGTCCGTCCCAACAGGACGAAATTCCTATCCTGCCTATTTATTCAAAGTACATTTCAAATAACTCCCAGATTAACGTTAGACTACTTGTAGATGGATATTAAATTCTGACAGAAGAATAGAATTACAAGAGTTTCGTGCCACATGAACTGTAGGTATTCACTACTATGTGTATGTGGTGAGAGCTGGCTGCTAGCCAAATTGGTAGACAGTAATTTACGTCAATGTGTACGTCCCCAATATTGGTCATGAGAAAAATAAGGACACAGACTGACTCAACAACCAATCACAGCAGACTTTGCTTAGGCGGATATAATTTGCAGCTAGACAATCTGAACTTCAATAAACGGCCACAACGAGATGGAAGACTAAAGTTCAGTGAGAAACCACTAATCAGAAGACTGTTTGCTTGCTCTTTTTTTTCTTTACGTTCCCCAGTGGAACATAGGGCTTCAAGCTAGTGGCTTGAAGTTTCTGTAGCAGTGTTTATTTTACAGGATGGGGTTGCTAGCGTCATGCCCAACCTTTTCTCTTTACCAGCATTATTTCTGGCTTAGTAAGGTGAAGGAGTGCGTCTGTGGCCGGAAATTGAACCCCGGACCATGTGCATAATCGGCAAGAGTCCTAACCGCTATGCCACCGATGCTTAAATAATCTATAATGATGTAAATGAAAATCTATAAATATCTGTTCCTAAATAAATGATCTGTTGCCTGGTCCTTGTCTTCTGTTGTTACATGTATATTAGCAAGAAGAGTATTTTATGCATGCACTGTTATTTGACAGGCTATTTAATAGTTTTTTCTTTCAAATATATTCCCTTCGACATACTCTAACAGAGATTTCTTTTCATTTCAGCATATAATTCTGCCTATTGCTCAATTATACTACTCAAATTGGCTAACACATTGTTTATTACACTTTCAATTAACATATTCATAATTCGCAGACAAGTGGGTGTGTTGCTGAAAATATTGAGATCTAAGGTCAACTAAAGGAAACCTTGTGTGATTAACCTCGGAACAGTAATCCTTTTTTTAAAAAAATCAATCAAGTGCCTGTTTATAAACTTACAACATATTTTATGTGTTCCGCAAGACTTTCAATTGATTGTACAAGTGTTTATGCACACACACACTAAAACATTGGACACTTTATTTCTGTGTTGTGAAAACTCGTTTGTCTAATAATTTCATTATGTGTAAAAATGAATATCACGGATAGTTAGTTGTAAAGCCATTATTATTATTATTATTATTATTAAATGAATATGATTACTGGAAAAAATGTGGACATGCTGTTCTGGATTAGGAGTGGGGGGGAATTGTGCCTTTGAAGTTTAGCCCAGAAAGCTTTGAATTCGATGGATTCAATTACTTCTTTTTATGATAATAGTACTAATGATTCACAGTACTTGTGATACAGAATGTAATTTTCAGCATTAATCATAATACTGCATCTAGCTTCCTCAAATTATAAATAAAAATTAATCACACAGAAAATTTTCCACATTTACAATAGAGGTAATGTCAAAAACATGCAGCTTATAAAATGGAAATAATAATAATAATGACAGCAGCTAGGGTAATAATAATAATAATACAAGTGAAAAATTGCCGTGGGGCTTTTACACACAGTATTGTCAATGCGGTATAGAAATCCTAGCATGTGTAAAAATATTTAATATAATGTTCTCTTTACATGATATGGTGAGGGGAAAAACAAAGATTACAGCAGTCATAGAGATAAGTTGGTGTTTGCAATTATGAGAGTAAAACAAAGAAGCAACAGGACCATAAATATAATAGAAATTATAAAAGTAAAGCTTGAAGGTATATAAGGATGGATGTATGGAGGAAATTGTTTATTTACTAGATGAAAAAAGGTTAGTTAGCTCATCTCAGCGAAGAGACTCTTTTCAACGAATTTATTATCAAGCTGTACAATCGTATATATATGGTTTTATAAAGAAATTATATCCGGTGAGGGAATTAGGTCAAAGGTGTAAATACATGAAATAATAATAGTAGTATGAAATGAATTTAAAATATTTGTGATTATATTCATAGTTTAAGTCGAGAGTCTCTTCGCTGAAAATTGTGTTCTTAATGCTACAATGGGAATTATTAAACTAGTTAATTCTTGCCTGACGCTATTTTCACCACATAACAGACGTGCCAAGTATGGTATCATAGAATTTTTATACTTAGACGTGCGAGTATACAGTTTTCTGAAGTTACTTCTTGTTCTACCTGAGGAGATGCAAAGTGAAAGCTGAGGGTGAATGAGAGTGGATGCTCCAAATCAGAAAAAATGATTGTTTCTATTAACATTTTCATTCATATTGCAAAAGAGGAATTTGTCTAAAGTGATCTGATTGACTGAATGACTGGTTTCAAAATAGAACTTTGCATAGAAATGCACCAGTTCGAGTTGCCACTCTGTATGTAGCATACAAAGCAAGAGAAGAGAGTAAAGAGAGATTCATCAGAAGAGAAATAATAAACAGAGGCGTGCGGGGAAAAGAATGGGGTTTTATTACATATGACAAATCACGAAGAATGAATACATCTGCGCCAGCCATTGAGAACGACTTTTGAGGCATATCAGCAGTTGTCTTCAGCATTCATTGGTTCTAACCATTCCGAGAACCCCAACCCCAACCTCCTCCCTACATGGCTGGCTTAAACTAACTACCTGTTGTGGATTTCATTGACTGATGAATCCATGTTTTTGTTTGACCACCACTAGGTCTTTTGCAGCCTAACTAATCCTATGTCAGGTAAAATCACCCACCCATCGAGGAAGGCGATCACTAGGCATGCGAAAAGTGATTTGAACATCCCTCTGCAGCATAAAATCCCTCTCAGACATTCATCATCAGATCGGTAATTGAATAATCTGAGAGTTAATCTGAACTTGTGCATGAGTTTTAATTGTCTGTGTATTTGGTCATATGTACTCTCGAGTGCTGAGACAACCTGTTATAGACTTTCGCACAATGAGTCATTCTGATGCATTCGTTAATAAAATCAACAGAGATCTGTGTTTCAGTAAATCTCGGTTAGTTGTTTCATAGATGTTTTCAAGTCAGACGATTATCTGGTCAACGTGTCAAGAATGAGTTACTAATTGCTTGGTTCGTTTACAATCCCATTGATAAATATGTATTTAAAAGGCGTTGACCTTTCCCACCATTTGAAATCCTTAATCGACTACCTTTTAAACAGCTATTAAGTAAAGTGTTACCGCATTTATCAAGATAATCATTAGATTTATTTCATTTTGGAGGATTTCATCATGAGCTGACATCAGTTAGAGAACCATTGGAAAACCTGGGAGTATTAGACATTGGGTGTGTATCATTGAAGATTCCTAGACTAGGCGGACGGAACAGCTGTCTAGTACTCTCAGGTTTTCCAATGGTTCTCTATCTGATATATATATATATACGATTTGACACCTCGATAATAAATTCGTTCTAAAGAGCCTCTTCGTTGAATATCGTGACCCTATGATGTGCTTTTCCTCAAAGAGGTCTGTAAGCAAGTCTCTTATCTTCTCCCATTACAATGCCGAATAAAGAAGGAAAATCAGAAGCCCTGGGTAGGATTTTCAATGAGGCTGGAATTAGGCTGACATTTAAACCAATCAAATCACTGAGAGATAAACAGTGTCGACTTAAGCATCTGATAAGTCTAAATTAGAAAAAAAAGATAAAGAAAAGGAAGACGAAATTTGCAGTATAAAATGATATCATTCTATTTCACAGGTTCTCATCAGCTGCAGACTACCTGAAATTACAATGGTTATATAGATGATGATAACATACTTTAATGTTCGAGTGGTGGTAGAAGAGAGATACTATAAAATTGACGCATCTAAGTGAAAGCATTACAATGTTTTTAGTTTAAGTTTTCATCATCAATTTATACGCTTTTAAAGTTGAAAAGAGGGGGAGGGGTAAGAGAGAAAACAGAAAAAATTGATTAACAGAACAGTGTTAGCTTTTAGGTTCACATAGCAACTCAAGAAACAAAAAAAACAATAAAACAAAAACGGTTACAGTTTATGAGATTAAGATTTGTTCAGTGAGTTGAGATCACTGAATTAGATGACTAATCAAAATCAAAATTCTGTTACCAAGGGAGTGAGAGGTTAATCACACTCTCTTTCTGTATGCATAAGTCTGGTTTAAGTCTTTTGATTTCTGTTTTCTCTCTTACCCCTCCCCCTCTTTTCAACTTTAAAAGCGTATAAATTGATGATGAAAACTTAAACTAAAAACATTGTAATGCTTTCACTTAGATGCGTCAATTTTATAGTATCTCTCTTCTACCACCACTCGAACATTAAAGTATGTTATCATCATCTATATAACCATTGTAATTTCAGGTAGTCTGCAGCTGATGAGAACCTGTGAAATAGAATGATATCATTTTATACTGCAAATTTCGTCTTCTTTCTTTATCGAAATTTATCAAGGGAACCAAATATATGAAAAAATTCAGACTATTTACAGTATACCGTTCGATGATTCTGAAGTCAGTAACATAGATCGAACTTGTAGATCGGTTTCAAGTAGATTATTGGACTATAGGAATTTAAATAAATGTAGAATAATTTATATTACTAATTTCTCTTAAAAACCCGAAATATTGAGATCACGCTCTGTGACCTGCTTATAGGTAGTTTGGCGAATTTCCTATCAGGCTTCAGTATACAAATTGTTTCCCGAAACGCCATGTAGCTTAACTACCCCCTCCCCCAAAACCCTGCTGAACTACCTCTTTTCAGACAGTGTAGAATCAAGAGGCAATCAGAATACAGGGCAGGGAAGTTATTTTGTTATAAAAATTCAAAGAGCACAGTAAGGCTATTTAATTTTATATTAACAATGCGAATAAAGAAATATGTGAATTTCGGGATCATCATTAAATTAATCGATTCCCATAAAGTATGAAACATACATTACTCATGCAATTGTTAGGTTTTATATTCAACAACTCCTTCAAATAGTTAGCTGCGCTCATTTGAATTTTCTCATCGCATTAGCTATTATGTAACATTAAATCAGTAACTGGTAAGTGTAAAGATTTTAGCAACAATGTCTGTACTGTTTTATAATTGAATTAAGTAGGAATTCCTCCTCCTCCCCACCAATCAAGGTATTACCTGGGACTTGTACACAGAATCAAACAAGAACGACCACAGTTATAGCAGTAATTTTGTAACCTACAACTCATATTCTCCACACAACCGGTTGTGATTCCCAAGATGAAGGATGAAGTACGTGGGCTAGCCACCTTTAATTGAGTCCGCCTATTCAGCTGCTCCCGTGGGTCCAGTTATATTGGTCATTGGTTGTTGTACGAACCTAATTTTTCATGCTTGAGAACACCTACCTTTGTGGCTAAATAAAGGTGTTGTTAAAGTGTGTTAACAGTTCCATATTGGATCACCTCGTGCTAGCACTGAAGAGTCTTCCCCATCACCTTCGGTGTACCGAATAAATTACCAAAGGGCCCGAGATACCGAACACCTCAAACAGAAGAAACCATGGCAATTCGCTTAAATTAATCGGAGCTGTTTGTGCAAACGAAACAGGTCTAGGCACTATTGTACTCTGGCCTGCTGTTGAGCCTATATAAATTCATAAATTCTGTTTTATTTCCCTTAATTTGTCTTATATTCAATCAGTTTAGTGTTATATTAATGCAGATTACCTGTCTCTTACTGATGCTTTTGAAGTGTAATCATCTATCGATACTATTATTATATTACTATTGTTCCCTTGGGTTGCGAGTGGAACATGGCGCTTTAACAGCACTTCTCCACTTTGTCATATTCTCTGCGGTCCTCTTTAGTTGGTCCCATGGCCGCCCATAGTCTCTGATCTTCCTCATGTCACCCTTGGACTCCCAACTGGTCATTTTCAATTC